AAAAAACAATAGAAATCTTCAAGATATATTTATCAGCCAATGACAAAAATTAAAAAAATATCTGATAAGGTAACCTCGAGATGTCTGTATTCGTGGATCCAAAGCAGTGCGTGCTGATTCGAGAGTATCATTAACTGGCAGTGTGGCAGAAGAAGAGTGATTTATGGGCTGCATTCTGCCTCTATCTAAGTTCTTGAACGAATTCTCGCGTGACAGAGCAGCTGTTTTGTTAGAGCTGGAGTTTCTTGGTGATGTCATGATCGATTCAATGGCAGGCTTCTTTGCAACAGAAGAAACTTCATTCTCATCCCTAGGCCGTTTGCCACAAGTTTTCATATTTGAACAGCCTTTTGTTCTGTTCCCCTCGACATCAAAACTATTTATATTTTCACTAGTTGCTTGACCAAAGGAGTTGTTTTTCTCATTTCCATCTATCTTTCCAATCTTACCTTGCCTCCGATTACTCATTTGCTCCTCGACCTTGCATTCTTCACACAGCCAGTTACCTTCTGGGACTTTAGTCAGTGTTTCTTGCATGCAATATCTGAGACCAGATAAATAGGTTAATGTCTCAGTACAATGGAGAAAGATAGAATGATATTGCACAGATGATAATAAAGATTTAAGGCTCACGTATGTTCTGCCCCATCACTACAACGAGAACAGACAGCAAGCAAATCCTCCCGACCTGCATCCCCACAGATATCGCAAACTTTGACCTGTTTCCAATCAGGGACTTCACTCAGCAATAAATCCACAAATAATTTATAAATGAAGTAAACACAGACTACTGGAAAAAGTAAGAACATCAAAAAACCCCACATAGGAGCCACAACAAATGCAAAAGAGGGGGATACAGGGAGAGGAAGGGAGATCTGCAACCCTATTAAAATAGGTTTCCGGATCCCATAAGCCCAATCTATAATTCTTCCTACCAGAAAAATCAGTACCTTTAATCAAACGACTATTTAAACAAGTAATTCTTTCAAGAACGAGTGTTAATCTAGCCATACCTATAAATGGATTCACAAGTCTTGATATCATACCCGTAGCAACAAATTTCGGATCATCACAAAACATATTTATTGCATGTGTGTCTATGATTTAAATAAGAATCTGCGGCTCCCAATAAGAAAAAACAAGCGAGCTTAACACATCCTAGATCAAATCTTTACTAGAACATAAAAAACTGAGCTAAGAAAATAATCTTTTACTAGAATAAGCAAGGAAAAATTCTTTCTTACATCCA